GCTCCAATAGGGAATCCTGCTGCTTTAGAAAAAACAAAAATTACTTTAACTAAGGTTGAATGGTTGATGCCATATGTGATGGTTGCAGACAAAGAAAAAATCAAATTACTCAATCAGATCGGACGAGATCGTGCAATTACAATGAGTTATCGTACTTGGGAAATGTATGAGTATCCAAAATTACCACGTACATCAAAGCATGTTTGGAGTGTTAAGACTTCCAATCAATTGGAAAAGCCTCGCTTTGTTATTTTAGCTTTTCAAACTAAACGTAAAAGTTCGGCGAGTGTTAATTCTAGTAATTTTGATCATTGTAATATTAGTAATGTGAAGCTATTCCTCAATTCACAATGCTATCCGTATGGAAATCTCAATTTGAATATCAATCAAAATCAGTATGCTGTTCTCTACGATATGTATACTAATTTTCAAAACGCTTATTATGGTAAAGAAAACTAGCCGTTACTCAATAAAAAAGATTTCATTAATAAAGTGCCGCTAATAGTTATAGACTGCTCCAAACAAAACGAAACATTAAAAAGCGCGCCAGTCGATGTTCGCCTAGAATTTGAAACTCGGACTGATTTTCCTGAAGATATTGCAGCCTACTGCTTAATATTACACGATCGTATTGTACAATATAACCCAATTAGTGGTGATGTTAAAAAATTAGTTTGAAATTAACAAGACATTATGTAATTAATGTATACAATGCTTTTCAATAAAAAAGATAATAAATTATATATATTGTTGGAATTTAATAAAAACTACCTATAACCATACTATATAGTGACTATGACGCCCTATACTTTCGATTAGTGAGGTATGGTGACTATGGCGCTCTCTACTTTCGAATAGTGAGGTATAGGCTTTATATAGAACAAACACGTGCCTCTACTCTCATAACGGTTTTAGAAACTAGTAGAGTTCACATTAACTTCAGCATCTTTTCAAATGGATTTTGTAATAGATTTTCAAGGCTTTCAAAGTTTAAACGAGACTTTTGTCTGTAAAGAACTCGCATATCTACCGTTAGATGTAGATACTGTTCCAACTGTGTTTTTCTTCGAACCACCATATCATTGGTTTCAACTTCCTTTCAAGTGTCGAAAAGTGAATCATTTCTTAGAAACGCGTCATCATGGTTTATTATGGAGATCCGGTCTTATTCCATATAAAAATTTAGCACGTGTACTAAACAATCATTTAAATAATTCTAGAAATATTTATGTAAAAGGATTAAAAAAGAAACAATGGTTACAAAAAATTTTACCTGAAAAGTAAGTATTTTTATTTATTTATTTTTTTGTTAGAAATTAAAATCATTATTAATTAAAAATTTTTTTCCTTTTTTAGAAAAATTTTAGAACTGGAAAGCGAGATGAGATGTCCACCAATGAACGCATTACCTTACCCATTAGAAACAATATGTACATATCATTACAATAAACCAGCTAACTTTGTATGTGCCGTTACAAATGCACAAAGATTGTTTTTATGGATAAAAGCTAGACTGAAGCAATCTGAAATGGAAGGTATTGATGAAGTTGACAATATTACATATAAAAATTCAACTCAATATTTCAATATAGTGATGTCAACTACTGAAAATAAAGATTATAGACAGAATGTATTATATTTAATGTATAGTTGAATGAACAATAAATTAATAATTAATCGAAAATTCTATAAGTTTTATTAATTAATATTCAAATTAAATCAAACTGTAAGGTTAAAAAATTCCCGAAATCTAATGAAACTACTATAGCGCTTGCTTAGAGAAAGAGAGAGAGAGCAGCATATAACTTACCAAGCTCTCTCCAAGGGCCCAAATACCCTACTATTAAAGGAGAGCGAGAGAGAGAGAGAGAGAGCAGCAGCATCCACACTATACAGCGTATGCGTCTAGCAAGCTAGAGGCGCTATCCCCCTCTTCAAGGGCTACACGGCGCACACTCCTAGCAAGCAGCTAGAGACGCTACCCCCTCTCCTAGGACATGCATCTAGTCAACATGTTTATTGTTGAAGGAGAGTGAGAGAGGAAGGGAGGGAGGGAGAGAGAGATATATTTTTTTTAATTTAAATAAATTTATTTAATTTTATTAAATTACATTAAATTTAATTAAATTACAAAAATTTTTTAATTTTTTAATTATTTTTCCTACCACATGGTTTGGTAGGTCGTGTAGGTTTCCTGTTAAAACATGAAAATACACTAGGGTCCGCAATTATTTTAATAGATTTTACCTTGGGTACCACTTTCTGCGTACTCGTGGTATTAGCGGTAGGTAAAATCATGCTGCTGCTGCTGCTGCTGGTAGCGATGATTGCCGGTGGAAGGGCATTTTCGATGCTACTCATGGGGTGTCTATCCATAGCATCAGAAGCAACATTCTGCTAAAAAATAATATTCATTTTAAAAAATTTAGTTATTAAATAAAAAATGTATTTATCTATAATAATAAATAATCTTACCTTCAGAAATTTCTTCTTTGGTGGAAGAGATGTAAACGCTGCTAACGGAACAGCGTTTACACATCTTTTTTTGGCTGCTTTTACGGCTGTTGTTTCGCTCGCAGCCCTCGCAGCCTTTTCGGCTGCAGACTTTGCAGCCCTCGCTGTCTTCTCGGCCGCAGCTTTAGCAGCCTTTTCAGCCCTTTCAGCTAAATATTTTGCAGCCTTTGCTGTCCTTTCAGCCGCGGCCCTTTCGAGCTCAGCGGCCCTTTCGAGCTCAGCGGCCCTCTCGCTTACGGCCCTTTCAGCTGCAGCTTTTTCGGCTGCAGCTCTTTCGGCCGCAGCTCTTTCTATCCTCTCAACATCCTTGTCTTTTTTCGTTGCGTTTTAACCCTCAGTATGAGGTAAAGCGTTATTGGAAAGAGTGCAAGCTGGTGTGAATGGTCGAAAGTTTCCTAAATTATATGTGGCCCTGAAAAAGGATAGTGCACGCTGCTAGAACGCATCTTCATTTAAAAAGGAACATCGGTTGTGCTTTAGACTCTTAGCAACGACTTCTACAGCAACCTACCTTAACAACCTCTGTAGGTGGGTGGAAGAGTGGGTGAATGGGGGGGGGGGGCACTGTCGAAGGGCCCACTGGCTTCTGTCTCAGGACATACGCATATACCTTATGCATTGGCGGCGCATCTTCAATGCATAAGCTACATCGATTACCTTTTAGGTACTCAGCGGGAGGTATCAAAGGTACATCAAATGCCTTTTAGACACTCAGCATGGGGTCTCACTCTGTTGAAGAGGCCCCATAAGCTACATCGACTACCTTTCAGGTACTCAGCGGGAGGTGTCAAAGGTACATCAAATACCTTTTAGAGAGAGAGAGAGAGAGAGAAAACAGCATGCGCACTATACGGTGTACGCGCCTAGCAAGCTAGAGACGCTACCCCCTCTCCGAGGGTTCACACTCAGCCAGCACAAGCGTCCTATGAAGGAGAGCGAGAGAGAGAGAGAGAGAGACCATCATATAGTTTACCAAACACCCTACCGACTTCTACAGCATCCTACCTTAACAACCTCTGTGGGTGGTGGGGGGGGGGGGCACTGTCGAAGAGGCCCACTGGCACGCGGGAGGTGTCAAACGAACATCAAATGCCCTTTAAATACTCAGCATGGGGCCCACTGGCACGCGGAAGGTGTCACAGGTACATCAAATGCCTTTTAGACACTCAGCATGGGGTCTGACCATAAATTAAAAGGTGTCACTACCGTGACACCTTCATCGGGCGGCTCCTTTGTGTCCCAGAACATACACGTATCCTTATACATTGGCTGTATCCTTTGTCGGCTCCTTTGTGTCCCAGAATATACATTGCTTATCTACTCCAATCTACCAAATCCGAAGTCTTATTGCTTCGAGAGTCACGCCAATCGTCAAGTTAAAAATCGTCGATCGTTCTTGTTTTAGCTACGACTAAATTAAATAGTTTAATAAGAAATACTCGGAGCAATTATCGAGCGCAGAAAATCGCCTAACTACTTGCGCTTATCATGAACAACACGTCGATTAATTAGGTACCAGGTATAGATTTCTGATACAAACCTAAACTCAGCACCATCAGTCACGTCACGAGGGTCACATCGAGGATGGAAGCGATATTCACGCAGTATCTACGAGATTAAGAAGTACGGTGGCTATTTTGTTAAAAAAAATAGAGAGATAAAGAGTACAACAGTTATTAAATATTCACGGAAAAATGAAGAGCAGAAATTTAGTGATAGTGAGTAACTTGATGCTGACCATATTATTATCATCTGCCGTTTAGATTTGTGGCATTGCTTCTGATTATATGGTTTTATAACAACTAATGATTGTAGTAGTTTTCAATCATGGATGATTGTACCGTCGTTTTCTGAATTGTTCACATAAATTTCGAATATTTTTCAATGGTCGTGAAAATTCTGAACAACTAATTATTGTTTCACGAACCTCGGAATTGTTGACCTCCAAGTTCCATATAACTTGTACACAATATCATCACTCAAATAGCGCAATGCTATTACGCACAGCACAAAACAGTACGCGAACGACACGACGTTATGGATAACTGTGCGCATGCTACTGTCACCTTGTTTACAAACAAAACAATCAAGCGAACATATCTTAGGATTCCTTCTTTGATGATCACTCATCAACTCCGGCCTTTGACTCAAAAAATAAGTTTTTCAAATATAATATATTAATATTTATCTTAAAACTAAATTAACCTACGGAAGAGAGTATCATAAAATGGAATTTAGCCATTGTCACGTTATTTTTAAAATAGCAACAACATTTTTATAACATACCCCCCCCCCTCTCCACACTTCATAAAAGGCAAACTGTATATACCAATTTCATACATCATAAATCTGAAAAATATATATCATATTTTTATCTAGTTTTTTATGTAAAAACATACATAAGTTTTGATCCGTTAATATAAATGCAAAAATTGTCTTTAGATTTAAAGTGATATTCTTATCTAATTATTTAAATATCTTTACAGAATTCATGGAAGCAATGACGAAATAAAGCTACATTGCCAATACGCAGACTATTAGAAATCAACTTTGCAAAATTACAAAAGAAGAATAAGAAATTTTTTTGATTTATCTATTTTCCATCATTATCAGAAAATCTACTTCCAATTAATTAAATATATTATTGTACCTTCAGAATAATATTCAAATAAATGTTACTCTTAGCTTATAGAATATCTCAAAAGTTTATGACAATGATATTCTACTATTGAATATTAATTACAAGAAAGAATAAATCTATTATCTCATTATTTGTTTACTAACTAATATTGTAACACTATATAAAAATAAATATATATTAAATAAAAATAAAAATAGTTTTATGTAATATATTAAGAAGACAATAATTATTTTTAAAATTATACATATATAATCTGGGTCATTTTCATGAAGAACAATGACTTACAAAAAAAAAGTAGTGCGTATATTTAAGAAGGGTCATCTACTTTTTTTTTTTTTTTAATTTGTAGCTTTATTAACTTCATAATACAAAAGTTACTTAGCTATATACAAAAGTAGTATTTTACAAAAAGAAAGATAAAATATACTTATACTAAATACTTAAAAATGTGACGGTGTAGGCCTGTCATGGCCTGCACCGTGTGCTTGCCTCCCTCTCCTTCTTAGGCAAAGGCGCACGGCCGGCATCAAGCGCACGTTGTTATCACGTGCCTGATGCCTGCCCCTTTTATTTTTCAGCAACGCACGAGAGTGGAAGGAGAAGCCGTGGACGCGACGATGCGATCGAGTATTGAGAGTGCGAGAGAGAGAGAGAGAGAGAGAAAAGCAATAGTTTGAGTGTTGGGCTTGGCGCGCGACACTTGTCGCGACCGGCATTGCCGCGTGCCGCCGATTAGGAGGCGAGTGGTGGGAGAAGGCGTGAGAAGCCGGCTCTCATGCACTCGCGACAGAGAGTTACGCGATGCGCGCGACAGCAATCAGTCGTACGAGTTAGCTGGTAACCATCGCTGCCTGCCCTTTGTCCGGAAGAAGTCAGCATTCCTCAGCAGATCGGCCGGACGGGACTTCCTCTGCCAGCGACGCAGCAGTTGCCCTGCAAGAAGCTGTCATCGAGGCAACACCCGACAGCCTTTTCTGCCAGGTGGCCGGCCACGCAGCAGCTAGGGGTTTTCCAGCCTAGCCGCCGGTGGGATACCTTCAAGGCTGCCAGCAACAGCGACGTCCACCAAAATTGGTCAGGTCACCGATTCCTCTCTCTCTCTTTGTATCTCTTCCTTTCCTCGGCGATTCTCACGGTTCGCGTTGCTACGCCAGGCTTTTCCGAGCCGGCGTAGTTTTCGGCAGTGTGTAATTTAAGTAATTGTTTGAGCCGGTTAACGAGGTGACATGGCGCTAACGTGCCGGTCATCTCGTTTAGATTAAGTTTGCGCGTTATTGTTAATAAGTGTTTGTACTTTCGCCGGCACTCTAGGTAGTGCGTTGTAATAAACGGTTTGTCAACGAGTTGTGTGTGGAAAATCATTTGCCCGCTGTTCTCCTTCCTGCTTTGCTTGGAGCGATACACCGCCTCCCTTGCCTTCCCCCTTTATAAATAATTGGTAATAGTAGTGAATATATCGGCATTGCACGCCGACGCTATTACAAATAATATAATAACTGTGGACGCTTATATTATATTAAATCTTATATCTTAATTTTACATTTTTGGATAAATCTATGCACCATTTGCAATATTTATATATGTGGTTTACCTAGGAAACATTTGATGTCAAATGGGGGGTATAGTTTAACTTTGGCTAATGATCTAAATGAATACTTTCTCTGTTCATCATATAATGGGCATAGCCATATAAGGTGGTTTAAGTCCTGTACTCCCCATTTACATTCACACATAGCGTCCTCAACAATTTGAGCATTTCTATCAGTATCGTATATTCTATCGAGCAAAACAATGGCAAGTTTCCAGCCAAATAAACGTCATTTGCGGGAAGCGCTGCTTCTATTCTTTAATATGGGGAAAAGTGCTGCTGAGGCCTTTCGTTTGCTTTCGGAAACTTATGGTACGGAATGTATTGGTGAATCAACGTGCCGCGAGTGGTTCAAACGGTTCAAAACTGGTGATTTTGAAGTTGAAGACAAGGATCGCTCCGGAAAGCCGAAAACTTTCGAAGACGAGGAATTGGACGCTTTGCTGAGTGAGGATTCGTGTCAGACTCAAAAAGAACTTTCTGCAGCATTGGGCGTCACACAACAAGCCATTTCCCTGCGCCTAAAAACATTGGGATTCATCCAAAAGGTTGGAAACTGGGTGCCCTACGAATTGAAGCCAAGGGACGTCGAACGGCGATTTTGCATGTCCGAAATGTTGCTGCAGAGGTACAAAAATAAATCATTTTTGCATCGTATTGTCACTGGCGATGAAAAATGGATTTATTACGACAATCCTAAACGGAGACATTCGTATACAAAGCCCGGCGAGCCCGCCCAACCGACACCGAAACGAAATATTCACGTGAATAAGGTCATGCTCTGCATATGGTGGGATCAAAAGGGTGTCATATACTACGAACTGCTTCCGAGTGGTCAAACCATCAAAGGACCATTGTATCGAACCCAACTAATCCGTCTGAAGCGGGCGTTACAGGAGAAACGGCCAGAATATGAGACTAGGCATGAGTCCGTCATTTTGCAGCACGACAACGCTAGGCCACATGTTGCGACTTCGGTGAAGAACTATTTGGAGAATAGTGGATGGGAAATTCTGCCTCACCCGCCTTACAGCCCAGACCTGGCACCATCGGACTTTCACTTGTTTCGGTCGATGCAGAACGCTCTTACGGGAATACGCTTCACTTCAGCAGAGGAAATCAAAAATTGGCTTGATACATTCTTGGGCTCGAAAGATGAAAAATTTTTTTGGTCCGGAATTCACAAATTGCCTGAAAGATGGGAAAAAGTTGTAACTTTTGATGGACAATATTTTGAATGAAGGATATGTAACCATATTTTCATAATAAAGCCTCAAACTTAGAAAAAAAACGCTGGAAACTTACTTGTACACCCAATATATTAACTTTGTTTTTAGGGTTGCTAAGAGTTAAAACGAGGCTTAGTGAATCAGTAAATATATCAATATTATAGTTTATGAATTCTAATGCAATATCTATAGCATCAGAAAGCGCAATACATTCTGCAGTAAAAATGGAAGCTTTATTAATAATACTTTTTGTTTTAATTACATTAAGTTAAGGGCAGACGCAAGCACTGCCTACAGATTTACCTAATGGTGGTTTACTACCGTCTGTATGGAATTTTCCTTTGCGAAGGTTTGGGTATACAAAAAATTAGGATTGTCACATTTTCTCAATTTATCTCCAAATTCAGTATCAACGTTAATATGAGTTTTAATAATTTCGTGATCGTAGTTATACAAGCTGGGAAGTTCGACTTTATACAAGCAAGACCGAGTTTAGATGATAGGATAAATCCTTTATTATCCAATAATATAAATCTAGCTTGCAAGCACGGGAAAGATTCCCAGCAGTGCCTAGATTGCATTAAAAGTTTTCGAGAACTCGGACGGATTCCGAAAAAAAGGTTAGAAAACTAGAAGACTATTTTAAAGCAAATCCAAACCAGCATAGAGCGCATTGATCGCCCTAATAAAAATCAAAAGAAGATTAAAGAATACGAGGGTCGTTTGAAAAGTCCGTGCAAAGTCAGAGAGATGGCACTACTAGTGCGTATCAAGGTTATTTTCAGTTAGTGGCATATCTTGGAAGAGCACACACCAAGTTTCAGCTAGATCGGCCAATTACTTTGAGTTTTACATTCGTTTCAATCAAAGAAATCTAGTGGTTATAAAGAAATGGACGAAAAAGATTTTCGTGTATTGATTAAACATTACTTTTTCAAAGGCAAAACGCCTCAGGAGATTAAAGAGAAGCTTCATAAATATTATGGTGATTGTGCACCTTAGAATGGTTTATAAGTTGTTTCAAAATTTTCGGAGTGGCCATATGAGCACGAAAGACGCTGAACGTTCTGGACGCCCTGTTGAGGTTACCACTTCAGAAATCATTGATAAAATCCATGATATGGTGATGGCTGATAGAAGAGTGAAGGTGCGTGAGATTGCTAATACTGTAGGCATCTCGAGCGAACGGGTACATAATATTTTGCACCAACATTTGGATATGAAAAAGCTATCCGCTAGATGGGTGCCGCGATTGCTCACGATTGACCAAAAACGAGATTGTGTGAAGTGTTGCAGGAATAGTTTGCAGCTGTTCCAGCAAAATCCGCAAGACTTTAAGCGTCGTTTCATCACTGTAGATAAAACATGGATACATCACTACACTCCTGAGGCCAAAGAATAGTCTAAACAATGGGTTACTAAGGGGGAATCTGCTCCGAAAAAAGCAAAGACAATTCCTTCGGCCGGGACGGTTATGGCGACTGTCTTTTGGGATTCGCAAGGAATAATCTTCATCGACTATCTGGAAAAGGGTAAAATCATTACAGGCGAATATTATTCATCGTTATTGGATCGTTTGAAAACCGAGGTGCTAGAGAAACGTCCACGATTGGCCCACAAAAAAGTTCCTCTTCCACCACGACAATGCGCCAGCTCACGCCTCAGCAGTTGTGGCCACAAAACTGATGGAGATAGGGTTTCAACTCGTTTCACATCCCCCCTATTCTCCAGACTTGGCTTCGTCGGACTACTATCTGTTCCCTAATATGAAAAAATGGCTGGCGGGGAAAAGATTTTATTCAAACGAAGAGGTGTTTGCAGAAACAAATGCCTATTTTACAGATTTGGACAAATCCTATTATTTGGAAGGGATTAACAAACTAGAGCACTAAGCCTAAAAGGAGACTATGTTGAAAAATAAAAAAGATTTATTAAAAAAAATCAAGTAGTTTTTATTTTTGCACAGACTTTTCAAACGACCCTCGTATAGTGAGAAAAAAAATGAAGAAATTACACCGAGAGTTATTTAAGCCGGAAAAAAGAATTCTAAAAAATATTGAAGTAGCAAAACAAAATACCCAAAGCAGCGAAAAAAGGATTCAAGAAGAAATAACGAAGCTCGACAAAAGAATAGCAGAGAAGCAAAAAGAAATAAACCAATTAATAAATGCTCAAAGAAAAAAAATAAGAGAAACCAATAAATAAAATTTAAAAATAAATAAATTATTTATAAATAATTTACCT